CGTCGTGGCCGAGGACGGGGCCGTCCCCGTCGTGGCCGACGCTCTGTAAGACGGGGCTGAGCCCTCCTCCCCCTCCCTCCCTACGAAGAGGACGTCTTCGAAAACAGTATGTCTACCTGTCCCTCTATCTATCCTACCTCAGCCTTTATCCTGGCTACGCCTCTTCCCTACGTGTGCCTCTAACTGCCACTAACATTTTCTTACTATATAGATGATCTGGAGATTTAGCCGGCGCGCTGTTTTGTTTTTGTTTTTGTTTTTTTGTTGTTCTAGTTTTTACTGTTTTGTATTATCTTAATTCTCGTCGAATTCTTGACGATTTAATAATTGAATTTTCAATGCTTGAATTCTTAATACTATCGATGGGTGTATGTGATCGGCACGTCGGCGATATATTACACTCGGAGCCTTCATGGGACCAGGATCAGCATTTCAGGCTGCCTAAAGCCTGGTGGACCGTCGCCCTCTACCGGTTATCTGAAAGTGATGGGTGGCGTTTACATACACTTGAAATCTAAATAAATCACATGGGATAGTATCAAAACATGCATGAAATTCTTGAAAAATGCATGTGGTGCAACCGAAAAGTTCCTCCAATATGTATAGAAGTGGAGACCTGTTGAGAGACCTCCATAAAACCAGTATAGTGCATCAGTAGGCACCATACTTCCAAGATTCCCGGATTAGCATACGAAATCACATACTAGCATTTACTAGGTTCTTAGTGTGACAGTTCCCATCCTCGCTGGCAGTCTCAAATTACTGTCCCAGCGATATTTTGAACTTAATCGAGCCATCCGGTTGGTTGACACCTTTGGCAACATATCGTTTCATGGAGTAGCTATTAGCAGTAGTTAGTCATCGATAAATATCTCCAGGTCTGGGATAAGAGATGTATTACAAGTGTTTAAGGCTGCCCACAGCTTGCTGCTTTATACCTTGCACAAATGCCCGAACAGACGGCAAGCTATCGGGACTGGTTTGACTGTACAGGTCCTGTTCAGCTTTGTTAAGTCGTTCCGCACACTCATAGATCATTCGATCAAAGCTGTTAATGGTTATGTCCAATAAGAGTCTAAATTCGAACATTTTGATTGGCACACAGCTCTCAAATTGACCTGCATCCTACTGTAAGTTAGCTAAAAAAAAGTTACTTATGTATCCAGAGAGTTATACTAATTCCTTCGGAAGAGAAAGAAGGTCATTATATCTGAATGTAACAGTTAGGTCATGGTCAGTGATCTGTGTTTTGTGATACTAACATCGATAAGATCAAAGAGGCCTCTCGGAAGATAGTCTGCATAAATGGGTTCGGCTTCGAGCATTCGTCGGGGACCTGAAGATCTTGCGAGTACCTGATAACAAATATAAGCATTTGATAAGTAAATCGAGAGAAGTTTCAACCAGATATCGACAGGGTAAGAGGAAAGGTATTTACATACTCGACCAAGGTGAAGTATATCTTAAAGCCAAGATTAAGTACCCTTCAATTAAAGTAGTCGGCTAGTGTAGGAACCTGGTTATTTTCCCGGCGTTCAACTGCTTCCGACGTTCCGCGCACGAACATCAAACACTTATTAAGGTAACGCTTAGCGTATACTTACATTTATAACCCTTATTAGCTGTATTCGTATGTAGAGGTAGCGCTAAACATACCTGGATGACTCTCCCAAATGTCCACGAATGAGTCTTTGAATGAAGCAATATTAGGATCAGGATGATTTGCAGACGAGACTTGACTTGGATCACGAAGAAGCTCCATGAATTTGATAGTCTCGTTGCAGTAGTTGATAGCCCCAGCAGGATCATGTGTGAATTCTCCATCATCAAGGGGTTCATCCCAAGCAAAAATCTACTTACTTAGTAATAAATCCCAATTATTCAAGGATAGTGACGCTTACCCAAGAAAGGCTTTTCGCTATTACGAGAAGCTTTTCATACTTTACATTAGGATATAACAGTGGAACCCATTTTGGCAGATCGAGGGCTTCAATCATCGTTCGGTTTAGAATATCCGACCAACGACTAGGTTTATATTCTCATTAGACAACTCCCAGGAAAAACTTTGTTAAAGAGTACCTTTCAACCCAGCTAGTCAGCTCGTCCTTAATGCTCTTATGGTTTGGATCATGTTCCTTGAGTTCCCAGCCAGGGTTGATCTTCTGTTGTGATGGAATAATTAGGCTATGACCATCAAGGCCTTCAAACAATGCTCTCAGGCTGGTAGTGACGTGGTCCATAGTTATGAAATTTGAATATGCTTCTGAGGATGGTATGTTGATGGTCCACAGAATAGGGAAGTTGCCAACTCTTATAGTAACTTCTGGACGTACCTCGCTCTACTAGGAGAATGAAATTACTATCATGCCAAATATCTCATTAGCTTTGCTGATGCTATCTTTCTTATCATCGCGCTATTTTCTGTGAAACCAACTTGAATATAGTACTTGTTGTAAGTACCTCTCATCTGGGATATTACTACATTATCTAGCACTAAGTAGGCAGACCTTACGACATTTCCCGGAAGTGAACAACACCCGGGGGACATGTGATAGTCTCGATTGAGTGTGATTGCCAAAATTTGCTTGTCAGATTGCTTTCGAGAATAGCATCTTTATTTGCAGCATGGCTATGGGATTCAATCTGATTTTCTGCCTTTTCATCGTGGACTGACTCGATGTCGATGGCTCACGCACCGTGTTTTACTCTATTGGCGGTATAAAACTGCTCTCTATGCTTAGGTCAATTCCTATATACATGCCTAGATGTACAGCGAATGAGCTCGCTTATTGACGGTACGTGGGCAGCTTATATAGCGCCTTTAATTTGGCCTATTGAATTATTTGTGGGCTATCATTCGCATTGCCTCTTTCTCTCTTTCTTTTCCAGCTGGCTGCATATATCTGGGAGGCTGCGCACAAGTTGGGAGTGTTCAAGATCTTTTATTGGGATGCCTCATCCAAGGCAGTTTATAGCGGGGGCGTCTGGAGGGTCTTGAGCGGATCGGTGGTTGGCGAACAATAAATTTGCTAGATAAAGCACATACATTATGTATGTACCTTTACGTACCGGATGTTCCTTGGCGGGTAGGCCTTTCCTATTTGAGCTGCCGCCGCTTTTATGAGGGTGATCAGGCTCAGGCTCACTGAGTAGATGTCAGCACGGTTTATTTTGTGGAACTAGGATTTGAAATCCAAGTTGGACTGACCATTGCCACTGTTGTCCTACATTATCCTTCATAAAAGCTCACCAAGGTTCCGTAACTGACTATGAGACTTCTAGACCATGTCGAAAAAGCTATAACAGGAACCCGTAGTTTCCAGGACAACCATGTACACGAACAGGTTCGGGTCGCGACGCCATACATCGTCATCTTCGTCGGCAGCGATAGCTGATCTCCATGTGCTTTGTTGTCAGAGGTTAGTACTACCATATGATAAGATATAACACAACACTTAAAATGTAAATAGGAGAAAATTGCTGCCCGTCGGCGGCAGCTTAGAGCAGAGCTGCTCGATACTTTTATAGAAGTATTAGTCGAGCGCCAGCTCGCCGTAAGATATTACCCCTGACTCTCTATCGGATAGAGACAAGTTAACATGGACTTCAGGAAGAGTTCCCCTCGGCGGTTCCCGTGGTGGACGGGGCCGTTCCCGTTGTGGCCGACGCTCTCTACGACAGGGCTGAGCCCTCCTCCCCCCTACGAAGAGGACGTCTTCGGAAACAGTATGTCTACCTGTCCCTCCCTTACGGGCGACTAAGTATGCCACCGGTTCGGTGGCAGCCCTGTTGGGGCCACGTTCCCAGTGAAGGCTGGCTTCGCCAATCCTCTCGATGGCCGAGTTGGTCTATGGCGCCATGTAGTCATCAATCAGTCATCAATCAATCATCGATCCTTAATTGAATTAGAACTAATGATATCACAGACTCATGAGAACTTCCTCTTGCACTGTTTCGGTGTGTGTTCTGGTCTCGAAACAGGCGTGGGCCCGAATCCCGCAGCTCACATTTTTTTATGTTTCTACAACATACTTAATCTAAGTATTCTAATTGGCTCTATCATTTTCAATCCGTGGGTCATAGAGGGACGTTCCATGGAAAATAATCCAATATTTATTCATGTGGGGCAACTTGTTGAATCTTAGCCTTTTTAATAATAGTGCTAGACCTGGCAGCAAACAAACCAGTCAGGGAACTTTTCTCAAGGGGCCAAAGAATCAACTAAAAAACCAGCATTAGGCACCAATCACCAAGAGAATCTGCTAGAAGGAATCCTCAGTCCGGAGGAGGTTTATCCCAACATCAAAGCCATCGGCAATCTGTCTATTTTCAGAGGGGGTGTCGGTCTATCTGCCGCATGCGTGATAGGTACATACTCCCGCTCTTCACTGCCCCGTCAGTAGCATATGCGCAAATCGGCAAGATCCAAACCAATGTAGATACATATTATCGGTCTTCACTTTATCTATGCGCAAGTCTCGTATCATCACCAGATCTCCTTGTGCGAATTGCTTTCTCCGGGCTTTCGACCTCGACTAGTCTTTGCCACAACAAATTATTTGTCAGGGCTTGTTTCTATACAACTTATCGACGTTCTCCCCAATACGGAGTACCGGAGTACATATCGCATAGTTATGGCAAATGCGGAGGGGCCAGATCCGACGTCTCCTTTTTTCCTAATGGCCAATCCCGTTGGTCAGGTTAGTTTTAGTTTTCCATTCTAGTATATTTCAATTCATAATCTGAATTTCCACTAATCATAATAAGTCTCAAGATAATTACCTCTTTCATGTTAATTTACGTAAAAATGTTTATTTCATGATAGAAATTTCATGTGTCTTTACTGCTACAATGAATTTCTGCATCCTTTTAGCCTCCCACTTCATACACAGCAGCATTTCCAGCACCCACACTGTGTCCTTTACCTCGTCCTCTGCCCGAACAGTTCCACCAGCACTGGCAGCTCCTGAAGGCTCTGACTTTGTGGAAAAGAAACGAGTTTAAGCCTCAAAATCCTTCCTCTTTGTTTTGCTCCAGCTCCCATGGAGTATGACAGCTGGGTGGTCAACTGTGTCGTATGGAAAAGTGTCGCGTTGAGTCCCACCATCGCCCCTGAATCGAAGCCCCTTTGGGTAAGTTTTGCTATACCAGATCACGTGGGACTTGAAATACGAAATCATCCTCGCCTTTGGGTCTGAGCGTAGATCCTTTAACCTCTGCTGTGAATGAAGACCGATAGTAGTCAGTGTTTGCGGGTCAGCTGCGACCCGCTCTCTGACCTGTTTAGTTTGAAAGAAGGCATCAAGTCTGGCAGTCCATGCTCCGAACTTCTTGGGACTCCGCGCCCCTCTGAGTAAACCATCCAATTGGCGCTTAGCCGCATCTGAGGTCTTCCACTTCTCTGTCCGGACTGTAGCTTGACGTTTGCTGATAGAAACTGTATCTAATAGGTTTGAGATCGATGTGCCAAACATCTTAGCAGCTTCCGGGGTCCTTCTCCACTCCTCTGTTGACTGCTTAGCCCATGCCTTGGCAATGAACATGCGGATTATGGCTCCCACATAGCTACCATTTTTGTCTGGGGCTAGCTCAAAGGTCGGATTGAGAGCAAGTGTTGCACTGAATGCCGCTCTGACTGCGTGTTCTGGAAAGAGATTTTCTTGATTTATCTCCGCATGTCGTAGTATCCTGGCTCGGCAGAGCTGGCTCCATCTCATACGAAGATCTGGTCTTTTATTGAACCAATAGGCATGTCGAAGGAAGTAAATCGGCCTTGGTACTGGAATACCGACCAGCCCGCAAACGCTGTTCCAGGAAATATCTTGGTATGCACGGAATTCAAGGGGGATATCGTGAAAAAATGTCTGAGTGTGTAGTCCTATGAAGACAAGATGTTTTATCTCTTTCGTTTGACGATGGCGAATTATCTCGAAATGGGGCTCTTCGCCATACAACTTGAATTGCTTGTTGCAACATATCTTCACCCGGACAGACTCAAGTGAATCTCCCATCTCAACAAGGCGATCCCGTGGAGTGAGAGCATTTTCTTTACCAAGTAAAATGATGATCTTGGATCGGGTGTTCAGCCATCGACAAAATTGGAGACATTTAGCCTCAATCTCCTCCCAGTTTGGATACCGGGCCCAGTTAACTCCAAGGTTCGACCATTGTTCTCGGATCGGAATTCTGTTTTGGGTCCGAATGTAGGGGCTCGGCCCTAGCTTTGCGTACTGCATCCTAAGACAAGGATTGCAGCAATCTAAAACTTGGGACCAACAGACGTTCGTAGTCGTCCACGTTGGATAGTTCCAAACAATAGCCACGGGTGCATCCCACCTTCCGCTCGGCTTAGTGAGAGTTTTATCGATGATCATTCCATTTGAAAGCTCACACAAGTCGTTGACAAGGAGCTGCCACTTCTTATCAATCTCACCGTCTTCTCTGCGCCAGGCATTTCTGTTCCTGCACCTAGGCTCATCGTAGTCCTCAAACTGTGGGTAGGCGTCGCCTTCGATTTTACAGCTTCGGGAAAATGCGTGTAGTTCACTTTTGGTCGAATCATCCAGCTCATGTAGATCAAAGAATACCGTTTCCCATGGAAAATTTGAGTCCTTGGTTTGTTCTCCCATGAAACTTAAAATTTCTTGTATGTTTTCCGCATGTTTGACGGGATCTTTGGCTTCATCAAAGGCTTGTTCAAAAGCACGCTGTGTGAGGTCGTCATCTTCGTTCTTGTTCTCGTTCACGCTATCCCAGCGAGGATCGTTGAGTTCTGGAATCTCTTCAATCGCGAATGAATGCTCGGAAGGGGTATTCAGGATTTGCTTGAGAGCTTCTTCGGCAGCTTCCTCGTCAATCTAAGAGATCCATGTTAGACACAGTCATATTGGCCCAGGGGGTAGGGGGTAAATGGTCCAATAAATAGGCTACCTCTTCAGTGACTAGATCGAGATCGAGGGAAGTGATGCCCAGAGAGTCCTTGGCAGACATGCTGATGGAGAAGACCAAGACCCTGCTAGAGCTTGGATTGTTGTTATTCCGAATGGTGAGTGAGAGGGAACTGAGTAGATGACTGAGTACAAAATGAGAGAGAGAAAAGAATATGACAGACCCGAGGAAGAAAAAGAACAAAGATAATCAGACCAAGTGTTATGAAGCTGAAATGAACTCAGCTCGCTAGGGCTTCCCAACGATAAATGTATGTGGGTTGAGAAATGGGAGTATTGATGTACGTACTACGTGGCTAATGAAATAAGAATTGCTGAATAGGAAGTAATAATAGTTGCTAATGATGATCTAACTACCGCCATGAAGCTCTCCGAATAGCTTTATGGAGACAAAAGGGCAAAGAGGGCTCTGACAACCTCCATCACTATGCATCAAGTATTTTCATGCTCTCGGTTCTCTCTAATACAGACTGAGTCTATTTGAGTGATGATCTCGAAATTGAAGACAGACAAAGTCAGAGGATCTGGATATCTTTAGGTGATTGATATACAGACCCCCCCCTAATCTGACGCTTTCATAACTGAGAATTCAGGTATAAATATATACCGCCTTCCTAATTTGGTGCGTCACTGGATTCGACACCTGCCTCTGTCTACCGTACTCCATACCGCCTTCCAAATTTGCATACCACCTTTAAAGCAAACTCCCTACGGAGTATACTCCGTAGAATCGTTGTAGACAGCAGTTGCCTGCAATTTAAATGTAAGCCCCTACTGAAATTAAGTCATTTTTATCGTACCTGACTTTGTATACCAAGGACCATACCCAGCACCATACCTAGCACCTGGACCAAGCCAGGCACCATAAAAGTACCTTAACAGGTAGAATATGCAATTTTTTCTCGTGAAAATGTATGTTTTATTACTATCTAACCCCGAATTATATAGTAGTGGCAGAATATTTGGCAGAAAACTCTGTACCTGGCAGAAGTTATAGCAGGATCCAGTGTCGTACCAAATTAGGAAGGCGGTATATATTTACACCTGAATTCTCAGTCATGAAAGCGTCAGATTAGGGGGGGGGGGTGTCTGTACATCAATCACCTATCTTTAACCCATCCCAATGGCAACTCTAGAGAACATTGAAACTCTTCGCACACCCTTACGCCGACAAAGAGAACTGAGCATGCCGCAAGCAGGATCTCTTCTGGTGTTTTCACTGTGCCATAGTCCTTCGTGTTGCTCCGCCCTTTTCCTGGTCATTTCCTTTTACTGCTGGAAGAGGGATTCATTTTGCTATATTAAATATAGTACTATCCCCCGACACTTGTGCTGTATTATTATCAATTATGTGAACTCTGTGAGACGGCTATCATGAACAAAGCTCTTTCCAAGTGAAATTTTTCCTAAGATGACAATAGGGACATTATATAACAATATACCGACGTGTTTCTAGATGTTCCTTTTATATATTTTATACATTCTGTACTTCTATACAAAGGTGCTAAAGTATAAATAGTAGGACTTTTCTATGCATAATGAGGGACTTTACCTAGAATTTCGTGGGGCATTCTGGTCACGAAAGCGACGTGCATGATTCTGATTTCTTCCTTTTTTTCCTGTCTTCTTTTCCTGTCTTTTTCTTCTTCTTTTTGGCCTCATTAAAATCCAAGTATTATGATTGGCTTTGACATTTCTAATTTGTGGAGCACAGAGGGAAAATAATCCTCTGTGCCTAGAATGTAAATAATATTGTGGGGCAACTTGTTGAATCTTGACTTTTTTATATTTTTCTTTTTCTTGAATTCTTCTAGTCTCCCCAGGTCTCGTTCTCGTCGAGTCTCCATCTATCTATCCTATTTGTCGCCTATCTGGCTCCCTCACCTCGTCTTACGGCCTATTTGCTACGGCAAGGCAAGCTCAAGCTGCCCACCATGGCCCTCATGAATGTCGATCAAATGACCCCCTCCAAACCGGTTGAACAGACCCTCGAAAAGACCCCCGATGTACTCGTGACCCCTTGCGATCCATGGCCTGCGCCTTACTATCTGGAGGGTGGTTTCCGTCGTGTCACGCCATACCATTACACTTATAACACCAACTGCAAGGAGCGATGGCGGGGTCGCCAGCTGGTCGAGGTCTTCACTTCCGAGTTTCGCGATCGGAAGCCAGAATACTATGTACGTCGAGGCATGGAGATGTGGATCTTCAGATTGAGACAATGGAGAATGGCAAACTGACAATAACCAGAGGAAAGCACTAGAGGATGGCCTTGTACAGGTTAACGGTGTGACAGCCCGCCCCGAAACGATACTTAAAAACGGTCAGGTCGTCTCGCACACTCTCCACCGCCACGAACCGCCCGTTACAAGCCTTCCCGTTGGAATCATCTTCGAAGACGATGACCTCCTGGTTATTGATAAGCCTGCTGGCGTACCAGTGCACGCTGCGGGTCGATACCACTTCAACACAGTCGTCGAAATCCTGCGCTCCGAGCGCAGCTCCGAATGGCTACCTCGTCCCTGCAACCGACTTGACCGATTGACATCTGGAATCATGTTCATTGGAAAGCACGCCAAGGCCGCCGACAAAATGGCCGCCGCACTCAAGGCCCGATCCGTCCAGAAAGAGTACGTGGCGCGCGTGAAGGGCAAGTTCCCAGACGGCGTGGTTGTCTGCGACCAGCCAATCATGCAGGTTAGCCCGAAGCTGGGTCTCAACCGTGTGCGTGCTACCGGCAAAGAAGCGACAACCAAGTTCCGTCGCTTGGCTTACTATCCTCCCGAGGCAGCAAAGGAGACCGACTCATCTAGCGACGACGAGCGTCCTGTTACCCCGACTGCGGAACTTGCCAATGAGTCCGAGGGCTACAGTATCGTGCACTGTTTCCCGCTGACCGGTCGTACCCACCAAATCCGTGTCCACCTCCAGTTCTTGGGCCACCCGATCTCCAACGACCCCATCTACTCCAACCGCCGTGTGTTCGGGCCTGAGCTTGGCAAGGCCGAGGTGAGCGCAGAGCGCGATGAAGAGATCGTCGCGCGGTTGTCTCTCATGGGTAAGACCGAGATCCCCGATACGGTCTCGTACCGCACACACCTGACCGCGGCGCCGAATGTCCCGCCGAACACCGACCCGGTGCTTGTCAACGAGATCATGCACCGCGAGCAGATGGCTGCAGCTGAGGACTACGCGAAGCGCAAGGGCGAGCGTCTGTCCGGTGACCTATGTGAAACCTGCGGCACAGAGCTGTACTCGGACCCGGGCCCCCATGAGCTGGGTATCTTCTTGCATGCTGTTGCGTATGCCGACCGAGATGGTGATTGGGGTTATCGCAGCCCCATGCCTCGATGGGGTTTGCCTCCTGCGGGCATGGAGGGTCCCCGCGAGTGTCCGGATTGGGTTCCTGCTCCCGAAGGCGAGGAAATTGTCATTGGCCATGGAACCATTCCGGCTGGCTTGGGTGATGATGATCGTGCTGCAGATGCAACGACTGGCTCTGTGCTTCTGGAAGGCGTTGGTCTCGTGAATATCTCCGAAGCTGCGAGGATGACCGAGTCTCGTGAAGCCACGGAGGCAGCTGTGCCTACTAACTAATGATGTTATCTTTTAGGGGTTCCTTTCTTGAAAATACCTTCTACCTATATCATATTTCTTGGAATGTCTTTGTCTTTGTCTTGATGATACCACTCTGCTGACTTATCATGAAAAGTTCACGAGCATAGCGTCTTGGTCTTGATCTTCCATGACATGGCGATACATTGATTTTTTTGGTCTTGGTTCTAGAATATAGATTTACTGCTTTAGAAGTCTTATAGAGATACGTGCAATCTATCAAAATTCAATTCGTATAGGATACCACTTAGACCCAGAGTCTATATATATTTCATATCAGAGGCCCAAGAAGTAGTTTAAGTCCCCATATGAACCTCCTCCTTGTTGTCTATTCAGATGTATAGAAAGGCGGTAAAAAAAAGAGCATAGTACTTTGTACAAGCGACCTATGTACTCCGTATGTATAGGTAAATGTGATGGATGGAGTAGGATCTTGGGACTCTTCATATCGAGCTTAGGTAGTCTGTGAAGGAGTTAATAAGCATCCATGGATCTCCTATCCGGAATCTGGCTGCTATTTATAGGAAAATAGTGCCTGTGAAGGCTTCTTGTTCTCAATAAACAACCAATTTATGTTATAATTGTTTCCTAATTTCACTTTTCAGCCAACGCTATAAATGCCGCTCTCTTTTAACCGATGCAAAACCAGACCAAAACATAACGCTCAACGCTCAACTCCTAGAAATGTATCCCAACGATAAAACAGGCGCAACAACTCAAATCCAAAATCAAAGAACCTAGTTGGTCACCCACGACACCTTCTCACACTGCTCCATCCGCTCTAACGCAGCATCAACCCGCCACAGCATCGTCCCTGACTGCGTGCCTGGCTGGGGCTTCCCGCGCAGCACCGCGTTAGACGTTGTGCAGCGTGAGTCGGCTGTCAGGCGGTACTGGATGCACTCTGGGTCTGCGGCACAGTAGTCCGCACAAGCAGCGAAAGAAGTAGGCGTCTTGGGACCCTTGTAATCTTCTTTGTCGTCGCCTGCGCTCGCAAAGTTGTCCCAGTTGTCTAGGTGGTCTGCGAGGGTTGGACGGATGAGATTGCGGAAGATATCACTGTATGTGAGGAGATTTGAGTTTTCCTGAGGTTTGTTAGTGACATATTCACATATTTCAGATAGATATCCAGGAGGAAAGGAAAGGCAAGGCAAGGAAAAGAAGGAAAGAAACTCACATCCACAAACCACTGCTGCTCAAATTCCCAAAACCGATCCACATCCGCCGGCGTCATATGGTGGAAAGTAAAAGGCGCAAAACACCAAGGCGTCTTGGCAAAAGCCTCATGCAACATATCCTGCTCCCAAACTGACTGCGTAGTCACATGCGGCCAAGACCAAGTAAGTCCAATCCCAGCCGCAGCAAGCGCCCTCCCAAGCACACAATCCCCCGCCCATTCCTGATCGGTGATACCATCCCACTCATCAATATGTGATTTATGAAAATCCGCAACAGCATGAATAGCCGCATGAGAAAGCACGAACCCCGACCCACCATGCGCAAATATAGTAGACCCAATCTGCATCTGATTCCCCAGATACAGTTTCTCCTCGTGGTTGAAATGCGCCAGCCACCCGAGCAGATTCGGCCAGATCGGATACGTGTCTGCCTCCAGGAACACGAACCACTTGGCGTCTGGCTTTGCGCGTCGCGCGGTATGGATCATAGGGAGGAACTTCCACTTGTCCAGTTTCCAGCCTGGGTTGTCGCTCATCCCCGACGGGCCGTTGGCCACTTTTGTGTGGTCTTGCGAGGTTAGGGCTGTGTGGCCGCCTGCGCGGGCGCGGTTGTATATGGCGAAGTCTTCGTTGTTTTGTTTCAGAGTGTCGGAGACGTTGAGGAAGACATCTTGGGTGCGTATACCGGCTATGTCTTCTTCGAAGTCTGAGACGATTATTTTGTGCGGCACGCAGCGGAGAGTTGTTCTTAGGTGTACGGGGACTTTGTCTTGTGCTTCTGTAATGCCTGTTTTGACCACTACCAATACAGAGTCCATTCCTGTGTCTGTTGGACAGGATGGTGGTACATTATTGGGGTCGGTTATTGTCTCGGTCTCGTTGTGTGTATCAACCGTTAGCTCGATAGCGGGTTCGATCACGTCCTGCGTGGTCTTTGAGCCGAAATCGGCGTGGATGAATTGGAGGATCAAGAGGATTAGGATCACTGGGCCCAGAATGAGTACCCAGCGACCATATCGATGTGGGAGAGAGGGCATTTTTGGAGATTGGGGTTGTAGGATCCTAGAGGTAGAGAGGAAGAGAATTCAAGAAAGGGGTTTAATGGATGTGGAAAGATCTATCGGTCTCCATATCCAGATGGAGACCTAATATAAAACATCAAAGTTGAGGGGATCTTCAGGAGGGGGTCTCCAAGTTCTTAAGTGATGGGTGCGTGGGGGCTGATACAAGTTCAAGGCGCCTATGTACATCATCGGTGACATTCACACTAGAATTATAATGGCACCATGATTCTCGAGGATCAAGCAGACGTGAGACATTGACCTGGAGAATAGATGCTATGTGTCTTTATCCTGTCCGATTCTATCCTGCTCCTGTGCTCCTATGTCGTGCTTGTGGTTTCGGAACTCCAGGGTTTTTGCCTGTTGCGTACGTCACCACTATTAAGTGGGTCCGGTGATCTGAAACGTGTGACAGTGATCGACTATGTTGTATATGTAAAGGGGCGTTTCAAGTTGGTTAGTTAATATATTGTAGATAAAGAGTTGAAGAGAAAGATGTCGGGAAGTTCACTTGTGCTTAGGGTTACGGTTTTGGTTAGGTACACCCATGAACTACACTGGATGTACACTGGAGATGTACAACTACATGTACAAGACCAGATTAGAATATGCACGTCAATTGAAATGACTTGGAATGAACCAAAGGGATTTTTGTAATTTTTGTTGTCATTTCAGAGAACAATTCTCTCGCTTCACAGCGCCCGGCACTATGACAAGGCCCGAGCCGGACATGCCACGCACAATCCTTAAATTTCGTTATCGCCAGAGAGATAGTATCGCCGTACAAAAACCCCGACCTCGTGCACCAATCCCAACTAAAAGGAAACAAACTGGGTTTATTCCATTTATGCCTCGGTGGTGACACGGCCCTTGGGGTTAGTGACCTTAACACCGAGAGCCTTGGCCTTCTCGATAATGTCGACACGCTTGCGGGAAGAGACGGCGTGGCCGATCCTGTGAAACTTGTTAGCGAACGAAATGTATAGATAGCAATCTTGAAAGAGCAATCAAGATCGCTCGGGTGGCGCAGGACGTACTCAGCAGCGAAGGTGCGGTTGTGCATGAGGAGGAGCTCAACGTCCTTGGTGTTGTGGACGAGGAAAGCCTTGTGGCCGGAGGGCATCATGTGGCGGGTCTTCTTGTTGGAACCGAAACCGATGGAGGGCATGGCCATCTGGCCCTTGAAACGGCGACGAACGCAGTTATCAATACCCTTGGGCTTGCGCCACGAGGCGCCAACGCGCATGAACCGGTCAGACTGGTGACGGTTGAAGCGGTTCGTGCCTAATTGTCGATGTCAGTCCTCCGATCGTGAATGTGAAAAGTTCGTGTCCTTTTGAGCCTCCATGGCCCTGCGGATAATGTCGCCCTTCGATCCCAAGATAGATGTTGATTTTTTTTTTCTTACGACAATCCTCCAATGGGTTCTCTTCGTTTGGTGCATCTTGCTGGGCTTGCTTTGTTTCATTTGGTCGACGATCGAAGGGCGAGAGTATCCAGGGCACGGGCACGAAAAGGAATGGAACAGGTAATCGGGAACATACGCTTCTTCACGATAGGGATGTGCTGCTTAGCGGCGGCCATCTAGAATCAAAATTAGTGACTGAATCGAATATAATGCGCATTTGGTGACTGACCTTGTCGGTATTGCTGGGTCTCGCCGGGCGTTCGAGAGTTGTCGGGTCGGAGTTCAATCTCGAAAACTTCTCTCTCAGGTTCTCCCGCAGCAGAGTGGGAGACCCACACTAGTGCGCTTTGGGCGAACTAAGCGAAAGCAGACCACTTATGTCAGCCTAGGGCTGATACAGCCCTAGCCCTAATATTCCTCTTTGGGTAATATCCGGAGATGTTCTATACAACTGTAGTCCATGATAGTCTCTACTAGTATCTATCTTTATTACAATGCATATTATCCAAATATTTCAATATGTTTTGATCATTTATCTATTTAATCCTAGAATGATTCTGGTTCCTATCTAGCTTTTAAATCTGCAAATGCAACTGAACCTTCTCGCCATCTTTCTCGCCACTGCGCAACATCTGCTCCAAGATCTCAAGATCTGCCAATGCTTCCTCGGCAGACTGTCTGATGTCAGGCTTTCCACTCACAATTGAATTTGCAAACTCTGCCACCTCTGGCCCAACACCCCTGCCATCAAACTCAACATGGTGCTTCTCGCCATTAACCGTCACATCATCGAGGTTCAATGTAACAACACCTTTCTCGCAAGCAACCTCGAAAATATGATCATCAAATGACGATCCCCACGACAAAGAGATAACGCCCGTAGCACCAGATTCAGTCTTCGCGACGGCATCCACAGTATCAACCGGTGGCAGGAATGATTGCTGCAGCTGCGACTGCGCCGACAGAATGCTCAGACGCTCCGTGGGGCCTAGAATCAGGCGCAGCGCAGCGGTCATGTGCACACCACCGTCCAAAAGGAATCCACCCTGGTACTCAGGAGTCTTGCGCCAGGCGGTGTCTAGAAAATATATAGTCAGTCTCCGTAAGATCTTCGATGTAGAGCCTCAACCAGGACTGGACGTACGGAAGTACTTGTTGTTCTCATCCATGAGGCTGTGAACGTTCACCCGGAAGTTCTGGACCTTGCCAAGCTTTTGGACTTGCTCTGCCGCGAAGAGGTACTTCGTGATATAACGGAAGTTCTCTGCGACAGCCCAGAAGACCTTGGTAGTATCGATAGTACTCTTGTACCATTTCAAAAGTTCCTGTGCAGTGGCAACATCCTTAGCGATGGGCTTCTCGGATAAGACGTGCTTGCCAGCGAGCAGTGCTTTCTTGATGAACTCCGGCTGAACCAGAATGGGAAGGCTATTGGATCGGACAGTCAGTGTTTCGCTCTTCTACTGTTGACTGGAATCTGGAGAAATGGGGTCCCGTACGCAATGATCACAGCGCCGATATCTGAACGAGCCAGTAGATTGGCATAGGACTTGTCAGATCCTGAGTCTTCAGAGTAGAGATCGACTTCGGACGTGCCACTGGCGAGGTCCTGGGCTGACTTCAAGGATCGGGAATAGATGGCCTTGAGCTGGAAGTTTGAGGCAGCTTGGACGGCGGGCTGTTTGATTAGTTAGTTAAATACAATATGTAGAAAATATTGCTATTAAAGAGTTTGTCATACTAGGTGCTGCTCTTTCGCAAAGAGACCTGTTGGATGTTAGTCAATGTATGCAGTGTAGAGTACACGGAGTATGGGAGAAGTATGTACCACTGCCGATGATAGCGACGCCGATAGACATGATTTAAATGTTAATAGTATGGAGTATTAGATCCGGGGTGAAATGAAATATCAAATGATGTTAATTTTGCAGTACTTGGGATACTATTAAAGGAAGTTCAATAGCGGAGTACAAAGTACAAAGTAAGTTGATTCCAAAGCCACTTTAAACTGCGGGAAGGTCCAACCTCGACGCACGTCATTTGCTGGTCGGATACATTACCTATTTGGTCAATTCTTTGGCGGATACCCGCTGTCTACTTCAGTCTATACGAGGTATCACGGAAACTCCGTGATAGATCGGGTACAATTCAAGAATTCTTCACATTATGTTGTATGTCGGTAAAACATCAAATACAAATGTCAATCTGAACTGTACACTCCATAACACCCCATCCAAATGCGCCCAATATCAGGGAATCCAATCCCAAATCCTAAAGAGACGCCCAATCATTTGCATCATCAAATAATACAATCGTACCAGTCGTAAACAAAAAAAAAAAGAAAACCCGCCACATGTCAGCCAAAATCCTAGGATCCAACCTTAGAAGCATCATTGATGATTAACCAAAGCCCTCAACCGTTCCACACGTGCCATAGCATTCTCCAACTTCTCCAACCGACTACGCTTCTCAACATCCCTCCGTTCCAGCACAGCAACCCTTTCCTCAAGCTTGGCGCGAGCCTTTCGCTCCTCCGCAACCATCTCATTCGCCTGACTGAAAAGCTGCACCGTTAACTCCTCTAGCTCAGTACTCGCCTGCGAAAGCTGCGACTCGGCAGCCTTACGGAGTCTCTGTTCGCGCGTAAGCGCATCCTGCAGTTCGGCGGTGTGCTCGCTGTTTGCGGGGGACATGTGAGTGAGCGGGGTGCTGAGCGCGGTCGGAGTACTGGGAAGAACGGCACCGCTAGATGTTGTGGGTGTTGCGCTACCACGTCGGTAGGGGAGCAGAGAGGCTAGATTTGTGAGGCGGCTGTGGTATGTTTGTGGTTGGGATCCTGAGGATGTTGGGCGTTGTGGTGAGGAATGGTCGGGTTGGGAGGGGGGTCTCCCCAGTGAGGAGCTGCTTCGCGGGGTGTGGTATGCCTGGGGTTGGGAGGAGCGTAGACGTCGAATTTCGTCTTCGTACTCGCTGAGTTTGGCGGCTGTTTGCGATCGGGTCAGCGGTGGGGTTCTTGTTTGTAAGGGTTGGGCTGGAAGAAGGGGGGGAAGAGATAGCTTTTGTCTTATGTGTAGACACGCGATCTCGTTCATGCTATGTTTGTGTGTGTAGTTTGCACAAAGACACTGCAAAGGCTTACCTGTAGCCGAAGCACGCGCTGTCAACGCCTGTACCTGCCCCTCCAACTCTTGGATTCTATCGTGGGCGCCAGAGCCATTTTGGGGAAATCCTTCACCCCAACACATAGGACATTGGTTTTCTGATATAGCGACACCCTTCATGACGGGTGCGACAAGCGTAGTAGTGAGGGATGTTGTAGTCGACATGACAACATGGGGCCTACCCCGGGATTGTCAGGGTTTAATTTTAAATGAACTAGGCGTACTAAGGTTGCAACGGTGGTTCGACGGGGCTTAAGAGCATTTGAAGTACCTAAGTACTAAAAAATAAAAAAGGAAAAAGAAATTTCAGAGGCTGAAAATCATAATCCCTGGCCCTTTGAAGGGGTTTCAATTAATTCCATACCGGCCACTCCATTTCTTGGCCAATTGTATCTCCTTGGTTCCTGAATGATCTCATAAGATGATTGATTGAATAGATTGAATAGATTAAAATGGATCTTTAACTATGTTCAAAACAACTATTTAACTGAAACCGAGTACATTTACTTATATACCTTATATACTAAACTTCGTACATCTCATACCTCATGTCCTCGGTTGCATTAATCTGCCACGTTCGACCCTTTTGAGACTAGTGGATCCTATTTATACCCTTGCTTGATCCAATAGTCTACGATGGAGTACCTAATTAGGTCAAATCTGACCTATTTTTTTTATGTCTTTCTAGAAGCTATCACTATTTTGTACTAAAATTAGACGTACTATATATACATACGGAGTACAACATAGCTACTTCGTCTAAGTACCAATATTCTATCAGAAAAGGTCCAACCTCCCTATTTCTTCAAGGCAGCCGATCGTCCACGTTCTGATACACTACTGTCTTAAAGCCCTGTTAGAGATATCAAGGGCATTCATGGTAGTACGTGTATTATACAATATACGGAGATACGCTGGTAACATATTTATAGCCGCTATCTACATCCCTGTTTATAGAAAAGCCTCTTCCACAAAGTATGCTTTTTTTACCGTCTTCATGTATAAAAAATGTAACAAGACAAGTTAAAAAGGCCTACAAAAAAGACACCCCAAAGCCGCAAACGCAGCCGACTATTCTTGTAACTAATCCTTAAGAATTCTACAATATCCACAACTACACTTGGGTCAGTGAAGACTGCATTTCATTCTATGCTAAGCGGAAATTCAACTCAAAGGTTAGGACGCAGAAATGGAGCAAGGACCATCGAGACAACTCTGCCATGCAAAGATCCCAAGAATTGAATTAGAAGCAGTCACAGAAGGAAGAGCAAAGAACAGGAACTGATTTCGTCAACATTGTGCTCATGAGAGGGGTGCTCGTAATGACTATTCTCGTAGAGTCGTCTTGTTCGCATGGCCGAGAACGGAGAAAGAAGAAGAGTGTCAAAGACTCCAACTCCCCACGTCCCAACGGCAGACAGGAACGAGAAAGAAACAGGACCACCCGTGGTCAATCGAACGGAAGAGAGGAGAAAATTGAGAGAACAAGAAAAAAGAGGAAAGAGAGGGGGGAAAAAATAAAATGGAACATGTAATATTCATTTCGCATCGGCTGTAATGGTCATGGGCAGATCACTTTGAGTCACGCATGGGAATAATAGCTAGATAGCGAACAAGACATAAAATGAAACTTTTCGGACTGCCAGATCATCGAAGCGAGGACTAGATGTTTATCGAAAAATCTAGCCCACGAAAAAGGGAAAGAGATCATGAAACCAAAGGGCAAAAGAGGAGTGGAAAGGAGAATAAAGCTCAATCAGAAAAAGCAATCTACGTCCGGCACCGAGGAATGGCGGAAGCAGGTGGTAATTATGAGTGCCAAACCTATCCCGGTGCACCGCTCAAGGTAACTCGACCGAGCAGCGCACCATGACTGGAATGAACCTCGTCCAGAATTAACCCACCTGCGTACCTGTAAATCCAAGGCTCAGGGCAAAAAAACGGCCGTTGCTTCGGGGTATCGATACGTTTATGCGAATCCACGACCAGTCTGTCCACGGCGGTTGTTGCGCTTGTTCACGCTGACCGTGCTCCATCCCTCGTCGTCACCGCCAGCACCAGCCTCGGGAGCTGGGGCTCTCCAGCCGTTAGAAGACGGCTTCTTGGCTTCGACGGGAGCGGCAGCTGCTGTCTCCTCGGTCTCCTTGTCAGCGGTCAACTCGCCATCCTCACCGGCCCGTTGGAGGATCTCAAAGTTGCCACCACCCTTGGGAGTCTCAAGGACATCCTTGCCATTGTGGTCCACGGCAGGGGCTGACTCCTTGAGCTGCTTTTGCTTCTCGGCGAACTTTTCGGCCTTCTCGGCCTTAGCCTTATCGGCAGCTTCCTGCTTTTGGCGGATGGCAAGCTGGCGTTTCTCCTCGACCTGACGCTCGCGGGTAGCGGTGTCAATGGGGCGGGCAGCACCGAAGGGGCTGGCCTTGGAGTCGCCGCTGGCTGAGGTGGGGGTGGGGTTCTCTGAAACGGTGCGCTTCGTCAGGTTCAGTTTGGGGCGGCCAGCAGGGGCGGCAGGAACGGCAGGAGTGGCAGAGGGGGAGGCGGGGCTGATGGGCTCCTTGGGGGTTTCGTCGGGGCGCATTCTGGCGCGCCACTGGTTGTCCATATCGGCAGCAGTAGGTGTAGGCTCCGGGCGAACGTGCTCGGGGCGGGGAGGGCGGGAGCCCTCATCCTGGGGACGTCCCTCACCCCATGCGGCCTCGTTTCTGCGGAAGCTGGAACCAGGTCCGTCGTTGCTGTGCTCTCGGCCACCCTCGCGGGGCGGGCCACCGGCAGAAGGCGAAAGGGGTCCCTTGCGCTCCCAGTTGTTGAAGTCACGGGGCTTTCCGTCGGACTCGAAGTTGCTACGGCGGCCACCGCGGTCACTGCCCGCATCGGAGCCGGCATCCATGCCACGTCCGAAGCTGGAGCGCTCAGGCGCACGGCGTTGGGGAAGTTCGGGAAGAGGGCCACGTCGGGACCAGTCAAGATCCTTGCCTTCCAGGCGAGATTCCTTGGCTAATATAACCTGTCAGTCGAAACCTTTACAAAAAAAAACACCAACCTTCGGTACTTACGAGGCTCCGCGACACTAGTACGGATGGAACGTCCCTGGAAAGACGAGCCAGAGAGATCCAGAGCCTTCTGCAGACCCTCGACGGTCTCGAACTCGACATATCCGAAACCCTTGGGGGCCTTTGTCAACTTGTCTTCCACGAGACGAACGTTCGTCACGCCACATCCAGCGAAAAACTCGGAGATATCGGCGTCAGTTGATTCGAAGGAAAGGTTGCCAACGTGGCAAGTGTAGGGAGGCTGGGTAGGGAGATCAAGAGGCTCCCGGACGGCATATCCACCACGCTCGCGCTCTAATCATTCAAGCTGTCAGAACCTGTTCTGTGTATATTTGGCGCGGGAGGTATCATACCATAACCGCCAGTGCTGGAGCCAGCGCCGAATGCCGAATCACCCGCGGGGCGACGGCTGAAGGTGGATGTCAAAGGCTGGGCTGCCCATATTGTAAGCAAGGGTTCTGATCAACGATAAGCATGTTAGGTATCGGGCACACTACATACTGGCTATAAATTTTGTTAGTACAATCTCGCAATTTCCTAACGGGGGGTGATCTGCGACTTACAAGGAAGGGGCATATCCTCCATCTCATCAGCCCAAGAGCCAAGGCCTATAGTTGTCAGTAATCACCTCAAATCATCCAAATTTTCCCGGTCACTCACTTTCATCGGCCAAGAAGGTGCTCATAGACATCTTCTGGGCTTTATTTTTGGGGGCTGATATTTCATCATGTTAGCAATCGGTCCATGAATATTTTCGCGGGGGGCGATGCCCTGGGGAAGATGGAAGGTCTGGAACGAACCCATGATTGCGGTTTGAAGTTGGGGGAAACGCGCCGGGATTTGTGCGCGTTTCTCGGAAGGTAGGGTTGGAAAGAAGGAAAATTCAAAGGATCAGAGAGACACCTGGTGAGAAGACCAAGAATCAAAATTTGAGTCAAGTGTGTTAGGTTCAATATCTGCAAACCCACAGTGGAAAAGTTGGTAGAGGGGAAGTCGGCTGCGGCATGGAAGTGGACGGGTTACTAAATTTTTAGTGATGACGCTAGCCCAATCAGAGCCGCGAGATCGGTCTATACCTGAACTACGATTATCTTCGAATCCGTTTCTATTCCATCTAGAATTGGCAAATGATATGGAAATAATAGGCTATATATGCTTTTGTTTGTTCCAAAGGAGGGAAAAAACGGTGAGAAACTCCGAGTTCATACCTTATCTGTGGACAATGGTGGACTTCTTCATACTCGGCTAAAAATATATCATCAAATATACCCCAAAAACAGTAAAAAGTACATCACTACATCCCTGTTGCAACTTGATTGGCTAACATTTTGTCATCCCAGAAGAAGCATGTATGCAGTAGCCTCAATTACTCAGAAGAATCCTTTGTATCACAAGTCCGACTTTGTACATCGTTCTGCATCAACTCTTAGTTCCATTTGACATACTTTACTGGAGCATCTGGTATTAATTTACATAGTACTTCATAGGTATTAGCGTAGACCTTTTGAGATCGAAGATTTTTTTATTCGACACGCCAATATGCAATACATAGGAATCTCTACGGCAATCGTAGTGATCATCCATTCCTTTTGGTAGCCTATGTAGCCATGGTTGCCTCCAGTATTCAGGCATAGATAGAATGTCATTTAATTTAGTCATTGTATAATGAATCTTAGTGACACTGTGATTTTAATATTGATAAGTTGGATAAAAGCGTTGATCGAAGGCTACTCTAGTTAGACTGCGAAGGCATATATAGAGATATTGTATTCCTGAAGACTGTACGACTAGCAGTGGACGTCATTCCTACGCTTTATCAGCCTGGTTTTTAAATCGTTGTATAACAAGATGCAATAACATTGCAAAGCTAGCTTGAACAGAGATCCGAGCTTTGACATCAATAGTTAAGCCTTTTGGCGTTGAAATAGGCGGTTCCTGGAGATATGTCTCGTGTCAAAGTGGAGGTTTGACTTTTGAGCCAGTAGGAATAGATAGCAGTAGTTTGAAGGTGGAAAATAAGTATCGTGGGGCTGGTGGTCTTGAAGGCGATCATCTGTTGGACATGGGCAATGTGGAGATATATCTATGGATCTTCACCCTCTTCATCCACCATTTCTCTCTAACATATTCAAACAAAGTACATAATAAGAATAGACAATGTACGCTAATTGATCAACTATTTTTTGTCCCACCAATCTGAACCTTATTGTTT